CGGCCTCTAATCAATACAGTCTAAAAGTATTACCTAACCAAGGCCCACTCCAGACACCTTTTTAATAACCTAAGTTGGCTGTCTGGCTTTCTGTGTAGAAGTAGAACTCTGACTCAATGGCTCTCGGCCTAAGCAGGACAGGCTTAAACTTCTCAGTCATAACAACAAAATATCTCATTAGCTGCAACATTTCCAGACACCAAGCAGACACATTAGGTTTCTTAATTTATTTGTTTTAGTGACGGTGTAATAGAAATCTTCATCCACGAAGCAAAATGTCTCACACAGAGTCATTCGGTGCCGATAATGAAATCTCATCAGTCGGATTTTAATAAGTAACCTATTGTTTCATTTTTTTTCTATTGTTGTTCAGTCCAATTCCCAGGCATGCGTTGGAGCAGCCTGTTGTTTGGGCCTGGAGAATCGTACGGTAAAGACTTTGATGCAGCTAGGATGCTGCTGCTGAGAACAGGGCCAGACCGGAGCCCCTCTATCGCCCCTAGCACACAGCCCTGCTAAGCTTAACTCAGCTGTTTGATGCCAAGCGCTGTGAGTGTGTGCCTGTGTGCGTACAATGCGTGTATGTGTGTGTGTGTTTACCCAGCTCAGGGGTTACATAAACAAGAGCAGCTAGCCTACAGGTAAGACCCACAGGAGACCAGCCGAGAGAGAGAGAGTGAGATGGAGCGCCAGTCTCTTACCTTGGCATTCCCCTGTTGTTGTCGCCATTGCTGGAGCTGGATATTCACTAATGAAGGGCGAGCTGGAAAATGACTAAAGGAGATAGGAGTAAACAAAGTTACTGCACACGCACACACATTGAATACACTCATACACGTGTGTTAATATAGTTAACTTGGTGGAGGCAGGCATCCGTGCATGTGTTTGTGTGCATCCCTGATGTATCTGGGGCTGCTGCAAAGAGATGGGGAGAATGTGGGCGGATGGGGGATTGGAGGCGGAGGCTGGCAGCGGGGCAGTTGGCCGCTGGTGCAGAGAGAGAAAGAGCGGGGAAGGGGATCGGAGGGAGGGGAGGGTACAGCGGAGATAAATCATTAGAGAGCAGGTTATTGGAAATGCAGGGAGATAAAAGAGTGAAGAAGCCAGTAATTGCCTTAAAGATCAGACTACAAAGCATTACTTTGGATTTTACAAGGCCAGCCAGCAACAAAAGAGCAGTAATTTATGAGCTCAGTGTAAAAGAATAGCATAATTACATTAAAAATTAATGCTAATGAGGGCTAAAATGGGGAAGGTGGTTATTATGAAAGTTTGTATTCATCTTCCCTGGGTTGAATGATGGCTAGTGGCTTGATTAATGGCTTAATTTCTATCAATTAGCAGGCAAAAAAATCTCCACTGAGACAGGCCTAAATTGAGCATTGAATTACACATCTTCACCGCGGTGCAGGGAGAGAGGTAGGGGGGCAGAGGAGGGGAGGGCATATTATTGAAACCTGGGAAAAGAGATGTTGCTGTGTGAGAGCGTGTGCATGTGAGAGCCCGGTATGGGTTACAAAACTTTGATAAATGTTCATCATCACGTATTTTAAGAACTGATGTTTGCGTCGTTGTTGGGTTTGCAGTAAACTGCGTGTGTGCGTGTATGTGTGTGTCAGTAGTGTGATAATTAGAGAAACACGTAAGACAATTGGAAAACAAAAAACAAAAAAACATTTATAACAACACTTTGTGAATTTGAATCTCTGTCTTCGACAAATTGAAAAATATTATATTGTTTCATTATACTGGCCATATTAAAATGGGAGTCACTTTTTTTCTGACATGACAAGTCCCCAGTATATTTCTTGTACTTACTGTGCTGAAGTCACACTGCCCACCATAAATACAGCAGCACAGTTTGCCCTTTCTTTGCTGTTCATTTTTAATACATTCATTAAATGCCTTTAAGCTCTGTGTTTGCCATATAATTCCAAAACACCGTCAAAGATGTGCCGCAATTTGCACGACCTCAATAAAACAAGCAGTTAGTTTTCCTTTTTATTTATTTTTCTCCACACAACAAGTGCTGCAGTAATTTAGCTGGCACGCTAGTGCACTCAATTACTGGAATTAATCAGCAGCAGCAATATATTCAGCTCGGCTGCTCTTGATTGACAAACTGTAGACCAAAGTCAAGTTTACAAAGACAATGCTGCCATAGCCCAAGGCCTCTGCTCATATGTAAACATGTGTTGTTGAACAGCTCCCTCTTCTGGCAGGGGAGTGTAACTGCTGCACAGCGCTCTCATCTTCAAGGCTGAAGGAGATGAGCTGAAATCTGTTTTCATTGGCTGGTTTGATTTTCTCTCTCGTCTTCTGGTCTTAATCAATGAAGTGGACAAACAGCTATTTAGAGAGAACAATAGCCTATCGATTCTGAGCCACTCATCAGCACCGCTGTCTGTCCAACTAATTTCAGTAATGAGATGGCAAGTGAGTTTTCTGACTCCCTCTTTTACTCACGCACACACACACAGACACACACACCCTGGCACGGGTGTAAAGGACACAAACACACGTTAATGTACATTGCTCAGTCACTATCCATTATTCTAATCTGCAGATACAAAACAAAAGTTTATTGATTGAGTATGACTCCATTTCCTGGTTCCCAGTAATGGTTGTAATGCATGTCAGCGTGCAGACACAAATGCCATAGAGCGCTACCAATAACCTAATTTAAAGCGGTAGATGCAGTACATTTAATTGTGTCTACTTTTGTTTCTTTTTCCTTTCTGTCTCTTTCTCTCTTTCTGTCTTCTCTTTCTCAGCTTTCACTTTATCCTCCTCATCGCTGAAAGAGAAGCGCCCCTAATGCGGTGACAATTGAGTCGACCTGTTAAATTAATTTGCCAGATAATGTGTCAATATTAAATATCAACTTTGACCTCTCCGGGCTGCGGAGTGCGCTCACCCAGCTAGAGTATTGATTTTTGTCTGCCTCTAAGCTCGCTAGGCCCGCACTCAAAGTCCATTATTTTTGATTTTCTCATGAAATACATATCTTTTCCCGCTGACATCTGACAAACAGCATATGGAAGTCATTTTATCTACTAATAATGTGTTTGTCAAAAAGTCTGAGCTCTTAATGGATTCCTGCAGCACACACGGACAGCCCAGCAACAGACAGGCCTGCCAAGGAGATGCTAGCAGATATGGGGGGGGTGTGCGTGTGGATACATGTCAGCGTGGTGGTTTGTGTGGTAGTTCTTTGTGGAGGGCATTCGTGCTCAAAGGACAGCAGAGAAGGGGGTAATTGAAAAAGTGAATTATTTGTGCTGATTTAATTGTTGGCCAGTCACAGGTGTTAGCTTTCATTCAAACACATGCACGCTCTTGCAGCCGAGCAGTGAGCAGTGGTGATAGTGGTGTGAAGGACAGGCCACAGTCTCCAGGAGGATATTGGGCCAGTGTTCAGACTTCATCTAGCAGCCCAGTCAAGGTAATTACTATTTTTGGAGCTGCTGTGCAGTGCGTCTCTGCTCACATCTTCCCGCACAGGATGACAAGCCGATAGTCTGTCATATAGGAAGGCTTAATTCCACTTGTCACTCAGTTGTCCAATTCTGCAGTGCATTTAAATCAAAACCGAGTTTGTTTGAGTGCTATTATGAACTATAATAGGGTGTGTGTGCCTTTGGTGTGTGTGTGTGTGTGTGTGTGTGTGTGTGTGTGTGTGTGTGTGTGTGTGTGTGTGTGTGTGTGTGTGTGTGTGTGTGTGTGTGTGTGTGTGTGTGTGTGAGATAGCATGTGATGCTTTGCTTTGAAAGCCGGAACAAATATTCATTTATTCATTAAACACCAGGGCCATGAAGATCTGTTGTGACACCCTTTCTGTAGCTGCTAATGGATTGAATTAATTCCTGCTATTAGCTCCAATTGCACGCTGTGTGTGTGTGTGTGTGTGTGTGTGTGTGTGTGTGTGTGAGAGAGAGAGACACAGAGAGAGTGTGTGTCTTGCATGTATGTATTAATGCCAGCTATGAGTGTAGCCAACTATGTAAGTTTGCAAACACACATGTAAATGTGGGAGTACTTATATCTCCATGGTGTTGGTGTGTGTGTGTGTGTGTGTGTGTGTGTGTGTGTGTGTGTGTGTGTGTGTGTGTGTGTGTGAGTATGTGAGTGTGAGAGAGAGAGTGAGAGAGAGTGAGAGTGTGTGTATTTCCATTTGTGTACTTGTTTTCATGACACAGCCTACATGAGTGGAGCAGAGAAACATGGATGTCTGCTGGATTGACAGATAGAGAGATGGGAGAGTGCAGGAGAGGACGGATGGATGGGGGAGAGAAGGATGAATATTGACTGATCAGTGGAAAGATTGACAGCCAGAGAATAATGGGAGCATTCAGACTCTCGTCTTTTTTTTCTGTTGCTAACTTTCCCGGCACACCTATTTTTGCCCTCCTACGCTGCGACGACTGCTCTTGAATTCTTGAAATGATTTATTATCTGATATGCAGAATCCTGATGTGTTTATATCCGAGAGTAATTTACTGGAAACCCTTTCTGTCTTTTTGTTTGATTGGACGAGCCAGAGCAAAATACTTTCTGATACATGAAAACTATATGAAACCTAATCACATTTAGACTCCATAATGAAATTCCATTGCAGTGAGTTTGTGTTCATATTTTGATTATTTTAGAATGCATTATCTGAGTGTAATTCACTGTCTGGCTATTATCTTGTTAGTATTTTTTTTCCTCCTCTTGCCTTTTGTAGGAGCTCTATGCCCTTGGCTAAGCAAGAGTCCTTTTTCATGAAGGCCAAGATTAAAATAGGGGAATATCAGATATTTCATATTGTATGTGTCAAAGAGCATTATACAGAGAGATAACGTACAATCAACTAAGCCCAGTCCAAATGAAATCTGGTGCCTTTCAGAGAATGACAAGGGGATAGCTGACCCTGTGTGTTTCTGTGTACATGTGTGTGTTTCTGGACATGTGTGCATGCTTTTGTTCATAGCCTGCTTTCTGTGTAACATGTGTTTCAGAGGGAACTTCTCTAGAGCAGCAAGTGCGAAGGATAAAGGACATTGAGGCCATCGAGAGTGATTCCTTTGTTCCTCAGGCTTTCAAATCATCCAGGGATGACATAAAGGTGCGTTCTGTCTCTCTTTCTCTACCTACCCCTCACTCTCGCTATCTTTTCACTCTGTCTCTTATTGAATTTACCTTTCTGCAACGCTGTGCCGTCTGTCCAGAGACAGCCCAGACCAAATCAAACATTCATTCAGCGCCGTTTGTTCCGACCTGAGACGGTTTCATCAGACGCTCCACTGTTCGCCGCCTCCAAAGCGGCAGCACCCACACAAAAGCCACAGCAGGCAACAGCCATCCTCTGTCTTCCTCTCTCTGTCTCTCTCTCCCCCCTCTGGTTGTGCAGATGCAGACAAAACACAGAAGTCATTATTGAAATGTCTCTGAAGGAGCAGGAATTAGATTTGTTGGGGCTCATGGCTGTTTTGAAAAGATAGGCGACAACATGTGACAGCAAACCTGCACAGACATTTGGGACACATCCCGGTGAGTCTGACAAAGGTCAAGACCCATGTGGCTGCAGCTTGGACTGGACTAAGCCAATCTGCCCTGGCCTGGTCAGACTGCACAGATTGCACATGCACACTATACTCTGCCTTTCCCTGCCTGAGAGTGCAATGCCCTTTTCACATATTGAACCTGAAACATAAGCAGGTGCAACTATCCAGCTGGGTAGCAGCTTTCATTGTTCACACCTAGATCTCCTATATGTTTAAAAAGTACTATCGGGTCTGTTCTCGCATTGTGTATAAAGTTAGGCTCATACTGTATAATTACCTCATAAAAACAACATAGAAAAAAAGAAAACTTGTAAGGAAATAACAGTTTGAAGTACAGAAGAGGATGCAGTTCTACAATATTTTAATCGGTTGCATTTTGAGAACAGAAGTGCTTTAATGAAATACAAATTCAAGTTTACACTTCTTTTTTAACAGCTCTTCATTGGTTTCCAAATTAATCTCGTGGGTATTGTCCTCATTAGTTAAATATTACTTCAGATATCTAGATGATTCATCTTTAGTTGGGGAGATTTCATAGTCTTTTGGCTATATCACATCCTTGGCTGAAATGAAGAGGACAGTGGCTAAATATACTGCACATTTAAACATTGTTTGACTTCCCTAGAAAAGATATCATTGTGTTATTTCCTATTAAATGAAATTTCTAATTAATTAAACAATTTCAAACTATATATATGCCAAAGCTTTTTTAAGATGTCACACAAGCTGCATTCCTCAGAAATGTTTATTCAGCACATTGTTACCAAGAATTGTGATGACCGCTTATACTATTTGATATCTGGCACATCACCATACTTATTAGCCAGAGTGTTTTATATCTCGCTCACTTTGTGTCCTGCCAAATGAATTTTAAATAGATCTTTCCAACTGGGTAAACATTTGCTCTGGGGCTGGTTTTAAGAGTGTTTGAAACATGAATGGACTTGGCAAAGTATTAATTTTGATATTTGCTCTTTATCAAGCACAACAAGAGAACAGGCCATCCTTCCAAATATGGGGCTTAATATAGTTTTTAGTAATACCTCCAGGGATGGAGGAAGAATCATTTCTAAACATCACATTTCTTTCTGTCAGCTTGGACTCACGGCAACATAAAGGGGACAAGAAGTTCTTAAATGTAAAGAAAGGGAGGAAGATACATTTGATTCGGCTTCATAACAAAATGCGTCAACACAACTGACTAAGCTAATGTGTCATAAATCCTTTGACGTGTTTGAATATTTACATGAGCCCGCTCATGCTGCAATTTAGTGCAAATATACTCACTTACAGAAAATCTAAGGATATAATATGAGGGGAGAAACATCCACATACACAGATGGATGAGACATTAAAACTGGATCCAGGATACAAGTTGATTACTGTCCATACACTGAGCCAGACTTTCACTGCCATCTGCTGGACAAATGGTGCATTGCATGTTACGATTCTTTTCTGTGTCCCAATTCTGCACTGCATACTCACTGTACATAATGTGTAATACGCACCAATCTTTATACCAACAGGAAATGATGAAAGACATGCACTAAAAGACCTCCTTTGAATTGCAATTTGGGAAACTAAATTTAATCTTTTTGTGCTTCAAGATCTTATATATTTGCATTTTTTTCAGATGTTTTGCAGCCACATTAATGCCTCCATTTCCTTTTGCATTGTATCTATATGTTAATATTGCTTCGGCTAACATATTCTTTTACTTTACTGAAAAATGTCAAGTCAAATTTTATTTTTATAGCCCAAAATCACAATTTTCTGTACAGCATTCAAAACCCTTAGACCCTTGATTTGGGTAAGGAAAAACTCCCCCAAAACATGTAAGAAACCTTAGGAAGAGCCACAGAAGTGCAGGAGGGATCCCTCACCCAGGACTGACAGACATGCAATAGATGCTGAGTGTATAGAACATATGTATATGCAAATTATGATGACACAGTTTCTGATATATGAAGATTATAAAACATATGTGGATCCAGGAGGATGTTGAAACAGCTTCAGATCTCACCAAGTGAGATATCATTGCTTTCACAATTTATTAGTTGAATTATATTTAATCATTCTGTATTAGTATGCCTTTTGGTGCTCTAAAGTCTTTGTAAATCTGAATAAACTATTGTTTTAGTTTGATTGTGACACATATATGCATGTTTTGTGTATTTCTGTGACTACAGGCCGAGCCAGTTGAGGTGAAGCAGGAGTCTGATAGGGCAGATTTTCAGGATGTCACTCTTCCCATCTCCATAGTCTACAACGACAACGACACGCTCGCCCATCCCAGCGTAAGTTCACATACAAGACAAACCCTGCTTCAACATCACATCAAGCTGTCGTGCACTTTAACACCCAACAAAGTAACTTTCAATCCTCTGGCAGAGATAAGGTTGATATGCTTCTTGTCATTTTATCTTGTGGTACCATCTTGTTTTATGAGTGTGGTGCCCATTGATTGGTGGGCAAACTTTGTAAACTTTTTCTTTAAAAAAATACTGCAGCTGCTATCAGCACCACCACTATTTACACCATTCCTGCATATTCTGACACTGTGCTTCGTATAGTATAGGACACTGCGGTATAGTAGATTATAGCCTCCTAACATCACCTCCTCCCCTGCCTGCAGACCAATGATGAAAAACGAGAAGGAAACTTTAAACTCCAATAATGCTCCCTGGGGCTTCCCAGTCATCTATCTCCACTGGGGAAACTAAGTTATGCCCTGACGTATGCAGATAACCCCCTCAAATACACACACACCGCCCGCCAGCTCAAATGCACACACATACACACCCTCAGACAGGCTGATGTATGGTAGCAATATGCCCCAGGCGGGCCCCGGCCTCAGCTTCAGCTACAGCTCCACTTCCAATTAGAACAGATGAGTCCCATTAGCCCAGCCCAGATACTGTCATCCCACACACACAGCCTCATTAGCACCATGACACCAGCGCAGGGTCGACAGACAAGAACTCACTGGTGTTGAATCTAACACACAGATAACATGCAGTGCAGCTGTAAGCAGCGTAGGTTTAGGAATGAAGGATTGACGTGGCCGCGGTCGCTCTACAATCTGCATAATAATAGACACATATCATCGAAGAGATGTACAGTATGTACACATATCCAGCATGTCAACATCAACTTTCACACAAACACACACACTGAATATAGAAATGATTTTCCAATTCTCCCTGTGCCTCAGTGCCTTGCTTCTCAGTCTCATAGTCATTATGTTACTTCCTAATAAACAGATGCCTCCATTCATCAGACACTTGCAGCAGCAGTTTTATAGCCCTCTTACAATCAATATCATTGCTGCTGGTGATGTACTGCGACAAATACAAGTCACATTTGTAGGCCTTTTTCTGTCACTGGGGCTAATACACTGCTAGGCCCATAGAACTGGATGAGATTAAGATAAATAAAGACAGGGAGAGACTAGTAAGGCATGTAAGATACCCCAGAATCATCAGTGTGACTCAGAAGTCCATATGGAGGTCACATGGGTGTCAATTGACAGTACTAACAACTCAACTTACTAGGAAGCATAGCTCATTCATTTCTGTCATATTCTTCCTGTGAGTTACCTGACCTGTAGTAAATTCAGACAGAGCAATTAAACTCGAAATGTGTGGAGGTGCTCAACAAATTCTGCCAGTCTTGGTGAGTTTGCTTTTTCCATGTCACAAATTTGTCTGAAGTCCTTTTCAATCTGTAGAACATATGGCGGTATCATATTGTTGGAAATATGAACTGTTGTTAACTATTGTCATTTTCCAAACAAACATGCCAAACATTTATGGTTTCAGGTTTTCACATATGTAATTTTTTTCCATTGCTATTATTAAAAAAAAGTGTATTTTATTTGTTTATTTTTGCTGGGACGGTGCACAATTAAAGTAATTGCACCAGAGTTAGCAGGTAATCTTTCCTGCAGTAAATGGAATATCTTTGGGTTCCTTGAATTGATCGTCGAGCAAAACAAGACATTTGATTATGAAATTGTTATTGGCGTTTTTTCACTGTTATATGATAAAATTATTAGTTCACTCATATCTGAGGTTTTTATTTTACACCTTCACATACCAGATATGCAGTTTTTGTTTTGTGTTTCTTGGCGCACTCATTTTCCCACTCAATCATGTCATGCCCTGTCATTTAGAATTAACTGCCCCTAGCTGTTTTTATGTTTGTCTCAGTGCAGTCAACAAAGTAAAGCAACACTGGTTCTTGAATACAGTTTGGTGGTTGCCTTTAGTCCTCTGGTCCCTGTGCTTATCTGTACTGTTGTCTTTCTGCTTACTAACGTATCCTCTCTACACTGTTCTGCAGTTGTTCATGGACAAGGAGAAGGCAGAGGAGTTGTGGCTCAACAGACTGATCTCGCTGAGACAGGAGAGGCTCATGGGAAGTCCTGTGACCTAAAAGGACACCAGAAAACTCTGAAGATCCTTCTTGTTCCCGAGAGCACCCGTTTTTATTGTTGGTCAATCCCCTCCATATTCTGTCTGTCTTGTTTTAGGACATGACAATATTTCTTACTTTACATTTCCACTAGTTTGTTTTACCTAACTTGAGCATTGAACAGTTTTTGGTCCTGATGTGCTTATTATTTTTGTTAATGTAATTCAATGAATAAATCTGCTGTTCTTTGTTTGACTTCATTGATTTTTAATGGAGGAAGATCTTACAGTCAGATTTGTTTTACCACGTAGATGACAGACGTATATTTGATACATTTTGTCTTTTGTAAAAACTCAGTAAATAAAGCTAGCTGTGATTTTTTGGAGTGAAAACTGTCTTGTGCTTTTGTGGGTGAATGATGAAGATAAACTTCTTTGTGTGATTGAATTAATAGAAACGGGATCTCTCTCTTCACCACTAGTGACACTTTTACGTTACGCTTTTCAAGTAACACAGCGGCAGTATCTTCAGTTAGGTACAGATAAACAAGTCACCCTGCCATACAGTTACTGACTAAAAGTAGCCTGACTGACACTGAGGTAACCCTATCTCTGTGGTCTGCATTAGGATTTACATAAAACTGGAATAAACGTATTCCCACCTGCCCTACACTTTACTCTCCTTGTAAATATCTCTCTGATATAACTCTGTGTTCAGTGATTTATGTTCATGTTTAGTCAATGTTGTGTCCCTGTTTAAGCAGGGTCTAAAGGCATTGTAGAGTCCATACTCAGGCCTATTTGTGGAACAGCCAGATGGTAAATCTATACTGAGTCTGGAACACAGTGTGTCACTCCCATACCCTCCAATTAGTCGGTGTTGTAATGAAATCATAAATGAGAATGTACAAAATGATTTGCTAAGGCAAACACATAAATTAAGCTTTGGTGCGTGTATGCCCTCCCTTACATGTGTCAAGTGACTGTCCCACATGTCTTCACACCCTACAAAAACCAAACACAGACTCACTTTAGAAACTAAACAGTCTAGTAGTTTAATCCCAGCGAGTTGCCTCCTGATTTATACTTCACCTCGACAACCATTGACAATTCTGCAGTTTAAAGTTTTAATTGGTGTAACTAAATGCATAGAGGTGACACCGTCTTTGTGAGGGTAGACGTCAGATAAGCACACATCACCATTTTGTGGTGACATGCAACAGCAAGATAAGAAAATGTGAGTTTTACAAGAATTTTCTAGAGTGCCGTTGCCATGGCAGCCCCCCCCCCCCACACACCCCCCCCACACCCACACACACACACACACACACACACACACACACACACACACACACACACACACACACACACACACACACAACATGACGCCCGCGGATAGAACCTGCCACATATCAGCCAATCCTAGGGCCGGATTCGGATCACGTGGCCGGTGTCAGGGTGAGTTTGGTTCTAAATCACATCACAGGCCGCCTCCTCCGTAGTACCATTACCGAGGCTGAGCGGTGGAGCTGGGACACCTGCGGCGCAACGGATTACTTCTGGAAAAATCCCCCCATTAAAGTTTTTGTTTACAACTTCAAAAAATCCGTGGAAATGTTCAACAGTAATCTCAGGGAGGTTGATGAGGATCCGTTCTTTTCGTGAGTAGCTAAACTAAACTTCTGTTAACTGTTAATTATAATTATTATAACTAGTTATAATTGTTATTATTATTGTATTTCAGAATGTTTTGGCTTGTAGGTTCTCATAATGCAGCAATTAAAATGAGCCCAAAAGCAGTTTATCACGGCAATGAAAAGCATTTGAGGGACTTCAACTTGAGGACTGTGCATAGGAAACCCAGACAAACAAACAAACAAACAAACTCTAAAGTAAAGTAAACTACAGTCGAAGAGGTAACTTAAGCTAAACCTTAACGTTAGTTCCACTTTTAATTATTTTGTATTTTTATTCAAATGAGACATTGACATATTGAGCCTAGCTTAACTCTGGCTAATTGTGACTGTCACTCTCACTGTTTAACATTTAACAACATTTGTAAGCTAAAATAATAAAATATGGCTTCCTACATACATTTTTATGTTGAGAAAAAATTTTAACGTAAATTATAAACATTATTATTTTATTTATTTTATTAAATAGTTACATTAGCCACTTCAGTTACAATTGAACGAAGCTGTTACCTAGCAACAGCTGCTGTAAGATAGAATGATTGCCGTAAAGACAATTACTGTTTTTTATGTAACTTTACTTTTTTTTTTTTTTTAAAGTAAGCTGAAAAGATAAATAAAAGGGGGAGACTGGCTGTTGCTTTATAAGTAGTAGGGCTTTATTTGGTGTCCATTCATATACTTTACATTTTGATGTTTCATTTAAGGAAAGAAATAAAAATAAGTTTTCCAGCACAGCTTAGAGAAAATAATTACTTATTGATCATTTTTGAATAACTATCTACGCTGACACTGTGTGCTAGCATTCACTTTGACTCACTGCCTGAGTGAACACCTGCTGAGTTAATGTGGCCACACTTGACCCGACTTCTAAGGCGGGTGTAAGGGTGGCTGAAATTATTTTAGGGGGGCTTCTTATTTCATGTGTTGTGTTCATTGAAGAATTTATCTGTAATGGGCTCCAAGCTGGGCTGGCATAGGTTATGTAAGTCACTATATATAGGAGTATGTGGTGTAGAGACATTATTTATTTTTTCTCTCCAGGAAACTTTATCATGGTTGGCAGCCCTCAGTATCATTGTGCAGAGTTGCTCTGAGTTGGTGAATGTTGATTTCCACTCTGTTTTTACTTTCTCTCCGTCTGCCACAGGGATCCATTCCGGGCTCACAGGGAACATATGCGGCAGATGATGCGTAGCTTCTCCGAGCCATTCGGTGGGGCCTTAATGCCCAGTATAATGGATGGGAGAAGCCGTGGTCGTGAAATGGTTGAACATCCTAGCTCATTCCCAGCGCTGAGGGAACAAAGGGTGAGAACATGCATTTCCTGAAGAACTTCTTTTGCAATTGTTGGTCTACTTGTGGACTCTAGTAATAATAGGCAATAAAGCTCTACCCGGTGTATTACATATGTGTGTACAGACACGTGACTGACCTACATACGTAGAATTTGTGTCAATTGTGGGAAGGAGGATGAAGCCCCCCGTTTAAGGAGTTTGCTTGTACAGTCGTGCCCTTATGACCCTCTCTGTCCACTGCTCATGGGCTTATAAGCACAGAATATGAATGTTTGGAGGAAGTGCTAAGTTTACTAAGGTTATAGTGAAAGCTGGCCACTGGCAGCGTAACTGGAGCACCACTCACTGAGGTATGGGGCCATGTGAGTCTCTGGTTTAGTGGAAGGGCAACCCCCTTGCCTCTCTGGACAGTTATATCTGGCCCTCAGGAGCCCTATTTATAGTGCATTGTTCCACTGACACACTGCTTTCTTGCAAATACACGCACAGACTTCTTTAATGCTCAAACCAATAGGACCTCAGAGAATTCTGCTTTGCTCTGCAGAGGTGAGCTCCTGCTAAAAATAACAGTTTATTTTGACATCATTCTAGTTGTCATCTTAACTAGAAATATAGTTTGTCTTCAAATATAACTGTCTCCCCAAATATCTTTTTTATATCTCTATATATATATCTATATATAGATATATATTATACACTTTAATACAGGATAAGGTTGTAAAAGCTGTGGCCTTTGTAGAGACCAACTGTTAAGGAACATTATTCATGCAGCATTGTCATGAAAAGGCAGGTAGATAGGCAGAGGGATAGTTTCGGCCTGCCATGTTGTGCACCCATTAACCTTTCCCAAATCAAATCAGCCCCTGTACTGCCTTTATATCCCTGCTAAGTCAAACTTAGTCCCTGTCACCTGCTTTAATCCCACTACCTCATGAGAGCCTGTATATTTATCCTTGATAATGACTTTCATCAGAAGTCTAGCTTCAATAGCCAGCAACTCGCTTTCTCTTTATTAGCATCATGCCATTAACTAGCTAATGCCAGCTGAGTTGGGGCTCTGCGTACTTGACTAATGACCTCAGTGACAGTGGGTGAAATGGAGCTACACTGCAAAATGTCTATCCAAACAAATTATTTAATCTAATATTAGGAGTAATGTACTGTTTTTATACGTGTTTCAAATGTTTTTTGACAAGATATTGTTTTCTTATTAGTATGAAATAACAGAATCTGAGTTTTTTCCTTTTTATGGAACGGGATATTATGAGGAGTTCACGAAAGATTAAATTAAATTAAATTAAAGTTGCAGCAATTAACAATTAAAATATTAATTTGTGAGGTCTGTCTATGATATAAGGATAAGGATTCTTTTAGGATTCTTCTAAGGATCTTTGCTTTTTGGAAGATGATCTCTAGACTGCTTTTGATAATTGTCACTAACAATAAACCTACTTTATGGTAAGATACATGTCATTAAGGTTAACTGAATTACAATAGGCATTCACAGTTTTTATCACAGAACTCTCTGCTCTCTAACACCCACTCCCACTCATTTATCTGAAGATAAGGGCCAGTCTTGTGGTTCTCAGCAGTGGTCAGAGGGCTGAAGCTCTGGTGCTGAGTTGTTGGCTTTGGAAAGGCATGTGTGCGGATGTCATGGACACTCTGTTTTCTCATTGTTGCTCTTTTGGTCCATCTGTTTGGCAGAACGTGTCTTGGCAGTGCTGGTGCATTAGCAGCTAGATGACAGACAGCTCACTCTCATACTGCTCTCCAATATCACAGGCACAAATGTGCACACGAAATTATGTACATAAACACACACAAACTAAGCATGCTTACAAGCACAATTACACACAGTCCCAGCATGCAAAATAAAACCCAGACACACTGACGTGCAGATACACACACACGCAAATGTGCACACATTGACCACATAATGCCAGAAAGGCATTATTCTTCTTGTATTAGTTTGCTAAGCATTAGATTCCCAATGGGAAAATAAGCCCCGTCTTACCTTCCAAGGCTGTTATGAGTTCTCACATTTCCCAGTCTCTTGCCAAAATGCACTGCCTGTTTTATATCACCTTTCAAAGCACTCAGTCATCTGAGCTCTAGTTTATAAAAGTACTGTCGAATGACAATCAAGCATCATTCTAAGTTTAAATCTTTAATTATGTGGTTTGTAATGAGCAAGACTGGTGCTAGGGCTGGGAAAAGGCCTTAACTAGCATAGGTAGAGCTGATGTTGTCTTTGTTGTAGATGTATACCCTTTAAGTCAGATTTCCCCCCTGCACTGACACTCTGCCAAAATAATGTGGGAAGAAAAGTTTGGCAATATGAAACTAAGTAGTTCATACACCTGTTATTCACTTACACCAGCAGTAAAAAAATCACAGTCAC